CTTTCTTTTTGAAATTTATAGTCGTTTAATTCTCTATTCCCTAAGTTTCTCTCTCTCTCTCTCTCTATATATATATATATGTATGCATATACAGAAATAAAGATATAAATGTAGATGCATGAAAAAGAAGAAAAATTCAAGTTAAATAATTGCAACAGAATTTACTTTATCAGGAGGGAAGATTAATCGCAAATCACAAATAGCTCTCTCTGAAGCCGCAGAGATTTGTGTAACAGGAAGCAAATACAGTCTTTGCATTCAGGCAAACGGGCACTACTGTGAATAGCGACGTCAAAATGATTTATGAAGCAATTTTATTAGCAAAATAAAGTTTTCTTCTTCATTCTCCTCCTATTTTCTCTTTGTAGCATCCTTTCAGAAACCTTGTCACTTTGCTCGTTCAATGAAAAACGGAAATGTAAAATAAGCTCAACGAATGAAAAACTAGGCCTGGAACAGTTATAAAAAATTTCAGAATGAAATTTCGGAAACAAAAATTATTCTCATGTTTTTACTGTACTTTTTATTACGTTATTATGCTTGGTAAGTTCAAGAATGAAAGATGTATTTTTACATCTATAATGAAATTAATGAGATCCTGAAATAGAAAATAAAAAGGAAGTATTTGGATTTTTTCATTTTCTTTGGTTATAATTTGGAAATTGAAAAAAACTAAAATGTACTGCTATTCAAGAGCTTTTCTTAACAACATGGTTCCAATATAAATGTATATTTTTGGGCATATAAATTTAATATAGGTCCCCTTCCCCACGAACAAACCTGTATTTCTGAAGGTAATTATGGTGTTCTTTTAAAATACACTTTTTTTTCTATATACAGTTTTATAATAAATATAACGCTGGAAATAATGCTATGCAAATTTTTATCACATTGAACATTATTTTATATATTAAGGATTTCGATGTAGAATAAACAAATATAAAAGATAAAAAGTACTGAAAGGCTTGAATTAAAATTTAAGCAGAAGACTGATAAAATAACTAAAATGATTTAAAACAAATCAAGACAAATACTTTACGGACCATCTAAACATTTCCTGAGGTAAGCAATGGAAGTTCCTGCTTTACTTTGGAATGCTGTTGTTATGCAAAATAAACAAACAGATTCAAAAAATGAAAGCAACTAACTTCAGTATTCAGTAAAATAATGATCAAATGTCAACGAATTGAAAATCTTCTTCTGAATAGAAGAGTCATTTTTAAATCAGCATATTATGTTTATGCCGAGACTTCTATTTTAAATAAAAACATAAGACGAAACTGTGGCTACACAGGAAGAGTTATACGCGAGTATATATGGTAATTTCTTCAGAGTAAATATGTTTTGTTAACTTGTAATGCTCCAGCCTATAACTTACAGCTAAATGTGCGGAATCTTAAGAACTGGCAAGCGATTAATCGCTTAGTTCAGAAAGATAGAAACATAAACGTACGAAAGGTTAATTATCCTTCATTATTCAAAATAAATTTAACAGTTGACTCCTTCTTGGAGTTTACAGCAAAGCCTCCACTTGGGCTTGAACTCAGAGATACTAAAAATAAAACTAAATTTAACTAAAGAGAAATAGCAGAAGCTATCTGAACTGCACCATGCGGATGTAAAGCTATCAAGATTCTACAAGAGTTGGCCCCTTAACGCTAACTAACAAAGTCAGTAGAACATGAACTTTAAGTACTTGCTCTTCCTTCATTTTCATTTAACCACAATTCTGAAAACACGTTCAGGAAATTGTAAGCTGAAATTAAGAATGATAGAAAAGTGACTTAACTCGCAATTAACTGTTAGAAACTTAGGATAAACCCTACAAGTTAATATTCATTATATTGTGATGAATTAAAAAAACACAATATGGGTAAGATTCAGTTTTTTTTATCTAGAATAAAATGTGGCTAGATCTATCTAAGTGTTACTTCTTGTGAATTTAAGCACACTTTTGAAGATGAACACGACCAGGGAAAGGGTACAAACCAGGGGAACCTATTGAGTACTATATAATATACAAACAGCACAGACTTACGTGCTTACGAACACCGACCATTTGCAGTGAGAACTTAAAAGATACGTAATACTAAATTTGAAGGTAGGAGTAGTACAAGATTACACAGTTCAATTTAAAGCTAGAAAGTGGACTCAACCTACACTGGCAGAATAGTAATTCGTCGGCGACAATGCTAACTGATATTTAAGGTTAACAGGGGGCAGAATTAGCAGCGTGCACTCACAATAGCTAAATCACGCTCAGTTGCTAGTCCAGCAGCACTCTTTGTCTTTTGAATTTATTGTGTAACGATTCTTAACTTCCACCGCACGTTGTCGGTGTAATTGTAAGCACGAAGTACGTGACTTTTCTGTTCAGAGTTTTGTGAATAATGAAGGGTTATTTTTACCATTTTTCTGTGCTGGTTTTCTTTACGCCAGTGCAAGAAGTCGGCGGGTTACTTAGTAGTTTCTAGCAGAGTTTTATCTCACCAAAGAGAGTACGAGCCTACAGGTGTTTAAGAATGAATAGCGTTAGAGTTATAACAACCACCTTCGTAGAAGTTGCAAAATTTTAGAAGTGTGCCAAAAAATTTTCAGGAAATCTCGGAACCATGCTCATAACAATCCTTCAGTCAAACAACTTCGCCATTTTCATAAGAGTTCTGTTTGTTGTATTTTAAGTTACAACGGTTTATATAAACAAACTATGATACTTTTTGCTTTAAACTTAATTTTAAAATATGGGTTTGTTAAACTACGGGAAGATGCGTTTAGTAGATACCCACTATTGGGGATGGTTTGCCTGATGCTAAGTCTTTGCAGTTTTTTGACAATTTTTTAACTGAAAACAGATCACTCCACACTTGGAGAGAAGTATATCTTTTCATCTGTAAAAAATCGCTAAATTTCCGCATCGTGGATGCGTTAATACGTAAGTACCGAACGAACTTACCGATTTAGGTATTTTTTCCTGAGTATCAATGACTTAAATTCAAAATGTTTTAAACAGTTTTAGGAAGAAGATATAAAATGAAAGTTTGAAGAGGCATTATTGATTCTGCTTTAAAATAAAAAAATATTAAATTCTTATTTCATTTGTAGCCAATCCTTGAAAAGCATACAATCCATATACCTCTGAGAGTCTGTAGAAGGATGTAAAGCTTTGTACTTAGCTAATTAAAATACAATGAATAATTTAATAATCAGGAATTTTGTTATAGAAAGATTATATAATAGTTAAAAAGCCTTCCACTCTACCGAAGCTACCTCGTAAAATTATCTACCATATTCTGAGAAACTTCCGGACTGTAAATGGACATTTGAATTCAATGTTTAAGGAAATAAAGTCTATAGCTTCGTTCTCGAACACTCTCTTAATAATTTCACATAACCGTGCATGACAAGGATAACCATATCCATTAATCTCTATGTATAATAAAACAAAGAGTCTGTCTGCGTGTGTGTGTGTGTGTATGTCTTTCGTTCGCGCTGCGCGTAAGCATAGACCCACGGCTACGAAATTTGGTTACATAGGTGCATCTAAACAAGAGCCAGTGCACCTCGAAGCGATTTTTTCCAGATTCGAATTAGAATTTTTTTTTTTTATTTTATGTTGTGTGATGAAATTACGTCATTTTGAGACATAATGGGTTATAAGCGAGATTTTACTCTACACACTCCATTTTCACATTGTCATGAAACGTAAGCACTTAGCTATTTTACGAACTTCAAATAAATTTCGTGTTTCAATAAATCGATCAAATACGAATTTATTTAACAAAGTGAGCTTAACAGCTTTCCAACGGGATTTTTTCTAAAAAAGTTTATTTTTAAAAATGTACCGTTTATTTTTCTTTAATTTTTGGACACGTTAAACTTTCACCCTTGCGACTGCTTTTACAAAAAGAATTTTGGAAAAATGATAATATTTTGTATTTTTAAAAAATTTTTTAAATGAAGCTTCCGAGTACACTTCTCACATCTTTACAAATGTGATTTTGGCAACAATTTTCATTTCTTATTGTTGTTGATAGATTTTTGATGAAATCGTATCATTTTTAATAGTTTCATTCTTTTAGAAATATGGGTTTGGCAACAATTTTTCATCGTATTTCATATGTCACTGTTTTTAATCGTATTTTTTATGTGACTATTTTTAAGAGATTAGCATATTTCATTGTCATTTTTATATATACATAATACAATTTTATTGATTTTTTTGATAAAGTTGTTCTACAGAGTAAAATTCTGCGCAGAATTTTTTGTTTTTTGAGTTGCTTTCATGTTATTTTTTGCTTTTTTCACTGTTTGTAAGATATTGAAAAGTTTTGCATGCTTTTTTTTTCCTTCAACGAAAAGTTGGTTAATTTTTTTTATTATGATAATTAATATTTGTATTAAGGGATATAGCTTATTTCATTGCAATTTTTTTCTCTTGAAAATATAAGATAAAATATCATTAATTATGCTTTGCTTTTCAGAATTTTTTGTTTTTTGCATTCCTTTATTTTATTTATTGCTCATTTCACTGTTTTTAAGATATTGAAAAGTTTTAAGTGATTTTTTTAGGAAACAAAGTTCTTAACCTCCTTTATACCATTTGAGTTCTTAAGATTTTGCAAAGGGAAGTTGGTTAATTTATTTATTATGATAATTAATATTTGTATTATGGGATATTGCTTATTTCATTGTAATTTTGTTATACGTAATAACTTTTTTTATGAAGTTGTCTGCAGAGTAAACTTCTACGCAGCTTTTAAATTTAATGTTTGGTTTTCCTTCAGCCATTTTTCGGGTACATTTAAAACCCAGACGAAGGCTGGCAGCGAAGCTGTAAGTATCTTATATAACCGTATCCATATTGCCTCTCCCTCATTTGGTCATGGTATTTCTTTCTTAATATCAAAGGAGGATAAGATTTATTGAGTTGTTAAGTGTTATGTTAAAATTAAGATTATTGTTTACAAATCAAAACGAGTTAATCGATATGCAAAACTTACATCAATGTCAATGCCATGCAGAGGAAAAGCCTTCAGAGATGGTTCCGATCCAGGCACGAACCTGAAAAATTCTCTCATATTCTTATACCACTTGACAGCATAGAGCGTCTCGTTGCCAAGATCATAACCACATCGAAGTAAAACAGTGTCTCCAGTGACTGCTGGTGTTGGGATGTGTAATAAATGAATTCTCAACGGAACTTGAGAAGCAAATGCTGAAATAACAAAATTATCATTAAGTTGCTTGAAAATTAGAAATTGAAATTTTGCGCTGATGTTTCCATTATCACTAGTACTTGCACTAACTAAAATAATTCATATGGTAAAAATAAAGTATTGTATGTAGAGATAAAAATTACGACTCTCCTGTAATGTTTGCGTTTTTTGCACACAGAAGCATAAGCTTGTTTTACATAAAATACCCTTTTTTTTAATGAAAAAAAAAAAAAAAAAAAAAAAAACACGCAAGCTGTAATAAACATTTTACCTAGCTTTACATTTCGTCTTTATTATACGTTCAGAAATTTCAGCCATAACTTAATATTTCAACTTAATATGGTCTATTTGAAAAAAAAAAAAAAAAAAAAAAAAAAAAAAAAAAAAAAAAAAAAAAGAACGGCTCAAGAAGGATATTTTTTTGTATATCATAAAACAAGGAATGAACGAAAATTAAAACATGCAAATTAAAATATAATTTAAAAGCTATTTCATATGTTTTCAGTGATAAGATCATAAAACTTTATTAATTTGTAATAAAGTTTCATTAAGTGAAACGTTTAATAAATGCCATACAGTGTAACAGAAAGAAAGCAGATGTTTCACTATATATTCAACAGCAAAAAGGGAAAAAAAGAACCTACAGACCTGTAACATCACGTAATGTCATATCCCTGATGTCATCTAGTAACAAGAAAAGTAAATTAAATAATACGTGATAGTAAAAAAACTAAATTTTGGAAGTGAGATACCCGTACCAAAGCAGATGTTTTACTGCATCTTCAATAAAGAAGGAGAAAAAGTCTACGGACGCGTAACATCAGGTAAAGTCATCTAGCAACGAGAAAAGTAAACTAATATAAATAATAAGGGATGGTAAAAAAAACTATATTTTGGAAAAGAGATGCCCGTAACACACACGGGCAAATGAAGTTACGTGTAAAAGGGTTGCTCGTATGACGTACGGGCTGAATTGTCAAGTGGTTAAGTGGTGGTTTATCTATTTCACATTAGACTGGGGAATTCTTCAATGTGTTTTCTTTGTGACTCTGGACAATCCACGGACAGAGAATATTTAAACACATGCTCTGCACCTGATTGTTTTTATTCAGTAAAGATATTTAGAGTCAAGGCAGCTAGTGGCATAAGCACCCTAAGCCAAGTATTTTTAAAAAATAAATGATCAAATTCTAATTCTTTCTTTATTCTTATTCTCTATTCATGGGTTGCAATACATCGATTCGGCTCTTTATTATTCAATATTACTTGTTCGAGATTCACGATTTTGTAGAGCCCTAAAAATTAAAAAGATAGATTTGCTTTAAGGTAAATCGCTTGTTATTACCTTTTCTCTTTGAAGAAAATATTTGATATTAGAGAAAGCATATTTTATGAATGTCTGGAAAACTTGCAAAAGCGTTTTCATTTAACTCGGAGGTAACTCAAAATTTAATAAAATAAAAGCTGACTGAATGCCCGTAATATTAATGTTGAAACAGTAGAATTAGCAAGTCTTGTAAGAAAGGATACAGATATTCACGTTTTATAACAATTGTGAAAATTCGCCATTTTAAACTTTCGCATTCTACTAAAATATTTCGAAATACTTCTACTTGTTAAAAGCCATATGTCACATTCTTCACGTTTTATAATTTAAATGTGTATTATTTCAGTATAAATCAAAACAAATCTTATACTTTTATTTTTTGTTCATTAAATCGTAATTTCATCGCAAAAACAGAAAGTTTTACATAATAGTATTTTATAATCTTAGATGTTTTAAAAATTAATATATATTTAAAAAATTCTTACTTATGGAAGAAAAAACTTAAATGTTCACGTTAGATATTTCTGAAAAGTTATGTTCATTTAACTTTATTTCAAGGTTTCATAAGAAAGAAATTCGGAAAACATTCATTTACAATTAATCATAGGTAACGTCAACATGTAAATGGCGATAAGTAAAACTTTTAAAATGAATAATAATATATTGACACTTACTGATTACTATCAGTGACGGCAGTACGAACACGGGAAGGTTTCCAGAAGCATACGACTTAGCCCGAAGGTCTTGTATCATTTCTCATTCAAATGGCTGTTGGCAACATATATAAATTTCTTTGCATTTACGTTATCTTCATGAACGTTTCTGGCATGATTTCTGAAAGAAAATTATCATGAAAAAGCGATTTTTGTTTCTTCAAGTAGAAAACTCGATCATCTATCTTTTGTATTTAAAGTAACGTTTTATATTCAAGTATAATGTTTTAGATCGTTAATAGAAGAAGAAAATGTTTTTTGGATGATATACATAGTACTATGATAAATTAACTTGCTTGAAAAGCATTTGATGGATTCGTTGTTAGCGATAACCTTTCATTGTATGACCAAAGCAAAGCTTTTAAGCAAAATATGCGAATTAAGAAAGACTTGAAAATTTTATGAATGAAATATTTCTTTATGAATTTTTAATTCGCTCTTAGTAGTGTGGAAAATATGATACGTTAGCAAATTTTGAGTAACACTAATAAATTCTAGTTCTGGTGAAGTTTCACGTAAGTCGGAAGTTTTGAAATTACTTAATATAGTTCCAAAGTATTGTATAAATGATTTTAAGCCATATTTAAGTGGCAGTGTCATGTTCAGATGTTCAAAGTAAGCTTAAAGAATAACAGAATAATAAAAAAGTGCTAGTAAAACCAATTATACGCAAATATTAGATAGGTAATAAATAAATCCTTAACTGCGTAAATGCCGTATTTCTCCCACCTTTTCTGAACTAATTTTAATGCTCGAAAATCGATAAGCAAAAATTATATGAGTAATTTAATTTCCGAAGAATACGGTTGCAGTAAGAACATAACAAATGGAAAGTAATCACTGATAAACTACTGATAACTATCCCAATATTATTTCTTTAAAAGAAACCCATGTTCAAATAAAGAAATATATTCCAATTAACAATACAATAGCTGACAGATATTGAGCCAATATCTAATGGTTTGCGTCAGACACTCCTTAGGACCCTAGTATGGATAGATCTAGACTGCAATTCCTGGGAGGAACATCAGAAGAACGAAAGAAGAGGAGTGAACAAAAGACCCGGATTTTGAAAGATTGAACACTTCGGAAATAGATAAGGTTACTATGAGACATAACATAAACAAGAGAAGTAAGGTGAAGTGACGTGTTTTGAGAGTTTCTTAAGTGTAAGAACATCCATCACGGTCTGGTAGTTGAACAAAGAATCTGCATAAAATAAGTTTCAAATAATAAAAGCAAGAGAAAATAAAATGGATGAAATGCTAATATAATGTTGAAAATTGAATATGGTGAGTAAAAATAATCATTTGAATACAATTTATCTTGGGGGAAATTCATGCAAGGGAGAAAAAAGCATTTTGACACATAAGTGGTTACGAAAAGTTTATGTTAAAATAAAATACACTATAAGTTTCTAAAATTAAACGAAAATAAATTTCAGTTCTAAATTGATTTCCTGGTATTTTAGTAGAGGTATAGATACGAGAGATAAGACTATTTGTTTCCTCCATTCTTCAAATGTACACAGGATATTGGAAATCGATAAAATAAAAAAGAGAACGAAAAAAGAAGTAAACCGCATTAAGTGTTGATTTCATCGTCCTGAAAAATCATGCTTTGTAAAAAAGAAGACTTAAGTTTATAAAAAATTATTTTCAAATAAATGTTATATTCTACATTGAGAAATCTTTATATTCGTTTTCATATTTAAAAATTAACTTTTGACAGATCAGTTTTGATCACTTTTGACAGAAGCTAAAGCGTGATGCAAATTAGAATAATTCGTTCGATAAATTAAAACTAAATTGTCACCCATTTACTGCAGGTCCAAGCTAACTTACGAATATGAACATTAATCATATGCCAAAATATAAATCTCATCAAGGCGTCTAGGTATATGATATCATAATTGGCTTGTTATGTTTACAGTAACCTAAATCTTTGGTAATTGTAAAGGTTTTCTGAGAAATAAAAGCTTATTTCACGGATGATGATTTCTAATTAACATTTAATTTCACGAATGAAGAGAACGATATCGACGTTTCTCACTTCAGTACTACAGAAATAATTTTTACACTTATTTTATTTGTTCATAAAATAACAATATTTTTTAATGAAGTGAACCAAGTAATTGTCGGAACATAAGAAATTATTAAGATTTCTTAAGAACTGCATTTACAATTCAGTTCTCTCTCTCTCTCTCTCTTTGAAAATCTAATTTGTTAAATTTGCAGTATAAAAATAATTAATTAGTCTAAGATCATTAAGTAACTTTTATAGAAAATTTATATCAGAATATGTAGAAGCTTAACATGCTTTATTATCAAAATGCTTTTCTTGATAGTAAAAATATTCATATACTATGGCTGAACAAAAGATAATCAAAATTATAATTTTCAAGAATAATATTTTTTATTTCGATTACACTAAGTAAACTTCAAAATATTGCATAAAAATAATTCGACGCATAAAAATAAAAATTAAAAACGACATTGAATAAGGTTGAAGAATAAGTCTTCAGCCTTTTTTGTACTACTTTTATTGTCTGAAAATTGAGAGGGGAAAATTATGAGAATAATTCAATTTCTAAAGGATGCGACTGCAGACAAACTATAACAAATTAAAAGTAGTTATGGACAAATGAAAAGTAACTATCACAATATTATTTCTTGAAAACAAACCTACTTTTCAATAAGAATACATAATAATATTAACATTATAATAGCTGATAAGATATCTTCCGTTCTACTTCTCTGTAACTTGAACCTCGCTCTTTCTTATTTGTTGTCTCTGTTACACGTTAAGCCTCAAATCATCCATAAATATTTGGAGAAGGCGATCGTGCAGCCGACTCGGCGAAATGATATACTGAACGTCAGTTTGTGTTTGCTTTGTTGCGATGTGTCTGTGTCTGTATTAGGCTGGTATAAAGGCTGGGAGGGGGTAAAATGTTAGCAAGGAAAATACGCGAGGATATGCAGTAGTTTTATTTTGTTGCGATATTCACAGAACTAAAGCATTAAAATGCCCACCAGCGGCCGAGCGGTAAAGTCGCTGAACACTGGTAGTTCGGTCCGAGGTTCGAATCCCGCGAACGGGCCGGCTGCATGGGTGTTTTCGTGGTTTTCCCCATGTGTAACGTGTATACGAGCCAGTTTCCCTTAGAAAGTCCTCCACGAAAGGCATCCCTCCCCTTCGGCAGATAGCCCTCGTGTGCTTTGCCATAATTAAATACACCAACTAAAGCATTAAAACGATTGACAAAAGGGAGAGTGAATATATATTACTTTTCTGCTAATTTTTTCAGAATTAATAATATTTTCTAACATAAATAAAATTGTTTCACATAATTAAAAAATCCCACGTATATCGCTTTTCATCATGCTTAGAAAACAAGATTCTATTATGATTCCATATGCCATATTTGTAACCACACACGAGTAATCTAAATTGATAGTAAATTTATATCATATTAATGTAAAAATATAATAATCACGAAACGCAACTAAATAGTACCTAGATGTTGCATTATTAAAAATGTATATTAATCTTCTGTCACTAACTAGCGATATGCGATTTTCTTAAAATATCGTTAACTCGTAGCCTAACTGGATTGTGTTACCGGAAAGTATTTCTTTGAGTAGAATTTTATTTACACTGTGACCAGTGAGAGGAACGCAATTCTATTAACTATTTTTCGCTATTCTATTAACTAATTCAATTTAACTATTTTCTTAAAATTATTACATACAATATCTTTCTAACTGGGCTGTGTTACCGAGAAGTATTTCTTTGAGTAGAATTTTATTTGCACTGTGATCAGTGAGACGAACGCAATCCTATTAACTATTTTCGCTATTCTATTAACTAATTCAATTTAACTATTTTCTTAATATTATTACATATAATACTAAATAGAAAAAATAGATAAATAGAGATAGAAATTTCAAGAGGGGGAGATTATAAATTTCGAGGAAGTTTGGCACAAAAGATGTCCTTTTAAAGAGTTCTCAAAGGAAACGCTTTGCTTAAATCTAGGTATTTTGAGAAACTTTTAAACCTAAATTGTGATTTTTAAGTTTCAAATTTTGAAATGCAAACAAATGCGAAAAAGAATTCTAAATTCTGCAGTGCGTCTGAAAATATAGCATTCTAGAAATAAATCAAAATTCATGTGAATTCTGACGGAAAATCGATCGTATTGGTCTGTCCAAAAGTAATTAAAAAAGCTATTTTCCTTTCTATTTTTTCAAAAGCAAATTAAATGTCTTGCTTTTAATCTAAAAACCTTTATTTTTTTCATAAACAACATCCTTTGATTAAATACTGAATAAGAAACTGATTAAATATTGAATAACGGGCTTTGATTAAATATTGAATAAAGGGTTTGATGAAATTTAACTATTAAACAGTTTGTGCATTCTTTTAAATTTCAGTGCTGAAAAAGATTCGCTTTTCTATTTCGGAAGAAAATTAATGTAGTTTCTATCGGAAAGATTTTCCTGAAAACGTGCTTAAGGGTGATCTAACTACAGTAGGCATTGCTTAATGTGATCACGTTTGTCCACTACTATTTTGATAGAATACACCGAAGAGTAGCATTAAAAAATGAGAAAAAATATCCCCTAAACTTTCTAGATTAAGATGCATTTTACTTAACTATTATTTAATTTCCTATTAATTTCTCCAGTAATCCTCAACATTTTACTTACTATTAATTAAAAAAAATATTATTGCTTATTTTGGCTAATTTATAACAATATTCGCAACTTCATAATACGTTTCACATGGGGTAGAGATTTGTTGCTCTAGCACCCTGGTGTTCTGACACCGTTCCACTGAGAGACAGGAAAAAATATCTTCCACAATAGCAAAAGAATTTAATCAATTTAATACAAAAGTATCAAGAAATATATAACTATTTTTACAGCATTTTAATTAAAAAAATGCAAAAATTTGTTTATGAACTGAATTGTTCAGAATACCTTTAATGCAGAACATTTATGAACTGTTGGTAACGTCCTTAGATATTATTTGACTGATGCCTGTAGCTTTAGTTTATCTTAGGTGCTTTCTGAGAAACTGTTTTTTGGCAGAATACATTTTGCTTCTGAAGAAGAAAGACCTGTGTTTGATCGATCTAAGAATGGAAAGAGCTGTTCAAAATCTACGTAAAAGAAAGGTTGCTTTTTAGCTTAATTTTAAATGATTGACTGAAATCGAAAGCACGCTGTTTGACGACTTAAATAATCTCTTGGCGACATTTCCCTGTCGCTTAAAAATGTTTATAATCTATTTTGACTTCATTTGATGAATTTATCTTTTATTTGGCGAAAATGTTTCCTGTAATATTAAGACCCAAATTGTGCAAATTATTGATTACAATAAGCGATGTTTTTCCAATTTTTGTGTACAAACGAACGAGACTTCAGCAAATTGATAACAATATTCGAATGATAACATTACCCGAAATCACATTAAGCTATGTCCACTATAATAAAATTAGCGCATGATCTTAAATTTCTACTTCAGTAAAAACGTGATAATACCTCTTCTTTGTTCTCATCTGCACAGGCCTTATAGTCTCAAAATAGTTTATTTTAATTTATTCCCCTTTAAACAATTTATAATTACTTTCCTTTTAAATCTCTGTTAAAGCAGTTGCATGAACCATATGTTTTTTATAAGTGTTTACGGTTTGACACAAAGTAACCACTAGAACTGTAAAACTGGGATAAAGCAGCGTACCCAACTGATATGCTACGAAATCTAATAAGTTACATTTAAAGACTCATTTTTTTATTCTTTGAATTAGAAATTTATTTTCACTACCTTGTTGGCTTAGAAGTAAACATGAAAGATATATAGATATCTCTCCTGTAACACGTAGATAGATTACTATAAAATACCGTACTGTGTGAAACTGTGTTATACTGCAAAATAAAGAGACGCATTTCCCAAAACTTT